AATATTTGCAGCATTTTACTGTTACTCGTAAGTGTAATTCATGTATTGTGAAACTGCAGCTTCATGCTAACGCAAGATAAATATGATCTGCATGCTTCTGACGCTTACACTTTTGGCACGTTTTTTTTCGCCAAATAGTAACGTAACGCATTACTTTCCATAAAAAGTAACTACGTACCGTAATTAGTTACTTGTTTATGGAGTAACGCAATATTGTAATGCGTTACTTTTAAAAGTAACTTTCCCAACACTGCTTATTTCACTGTTTATAAAACATACAATATGCTTTTAATGATTGTTCATATATAGCCTATAAATACACTACTTTAGTGACAAGCGATGTAGTTGTTGTGGAAAAAACTAATAAAGAATAGCATTGGCAGCAAGAATGGTTGTCCCCTCCACCATGTTTAAAGTTTAAGGCCCGCCCAACTCGGAAACTCTGGTATCAAAAGGATCTCCCAGTAGTAAATATGACTTGAGAGGCATTCACGTCTAATTTTCGAAACTTGTATTTGCGATAATTCCAATAGCATGTGAAGGCAGCATAAATGTGGCTAATAGTACAATATTTGACTCAGTGTTTGTTCCATGAGATAACACTTGTAATATTTTGTATGCATTTACAAAGTTGTCCATTTTCCTATTCAAGCAAAGTCATGTAAAACAAATTGCATTTTGTTGGGCTAGTTCATGTTTGGCATGAAATGAAGATTCATCCTATGGACATTTTTGTTTATTATTGTACAATAAAAATGACATGAGAGACAATTTATTGAAAATTTTGACTCAAACAACATTTGGACTTTCAGATGACCAACGTGCAGATAGATTTTTGTAGTCTTTGTGTTGTGGCATTGCCTCTTATAAAGCATTTGATGCCCTCCCAGGTTACCTGGAACAAGGACTTCTGGTGAAGGACTTGGCGAAACTCAGAGACAGCTACATTCATACCTTTCAGTTCAAACTGGACGTTATCTCCATCCTCCCCACAGACCTGGCGTACATCATCTTGGGTATCAACACACCACAGCTACGCTTCAACCGCCTCTTACGCTTCTCTCGTATGTTCGAGTTCTTTAATCGGACGGAGACAAGAACCAACTACCCAAACATCTTCCGCATCTGGAACTTGGTTCTCTACATTCTGGTTATCATCCACTGGAATGCCTGCATCTTCTATGCCATCTCGAAGTCTCTAGGTTTTGGGTCAGATCAGTGGGTTTATCCCAACATCTCATCCACAGAGGAAGGAGCTCTGAGGCGGAGCTACATATACTGCTTCTACTGGTCCACACTGACACTCACCACCATCGGTGAGATGCCACCACCCGTACGGGACGAGGAATATGTGTTTGTGGTGTTCGATTTTCTTGTTGGAGTCCTGATTTTTGCCACCATTGTGGGTAACGTGGGTTCCATGATTTCCAATATGAACGCCACACGGGCAGAGTTCCAGGCACGGATTGATGCTATTAAACATTACATGCACTTCCGCAAAGTCAGTCGCCATCTTGAGACACGTGTCATCAAATGGTTCGACTTCCTGTGGACGAATCAGAAAGCAGTGGATGAACAGGAAGTCTTAAAGAATCTTCCCGACAAGCTACGTGCAGAAATTGCTATCAATGTTCATTTATCTACTCTAAAGAAAGTGCGCATCTTTCAAGATTGTGAGGCCGGGCTGTTAGTAGAACTGGTTTTAAAGCTGCGCCCCCAAGTGTACAGTCCTGGCGACTACATCTGCCGAAAAGGAGACATTGGAAAAGAGATGTACATCATTAAAGAGGGAAAATTAGCAGTTGTTGCTGATGATGGAGTGACACAGTTTGCATTGCTAACGGCTGGGGGTTGCTTCGGCGAGATTAGCATTCTTAACATTCAGGGCAGTAAAATGGGAAACCGGCGGACAGCTAACATTTGCAGCATTGGCTACTCTGACCTCTTCTGCCTTTCAAAAGACGACCTTATGGAGGCCGTAACCGAATACCCAGATGCACAGAAGGTTCTGGAGGCACGTGGAAGGGAGATTCTGAGGAAGCAAGGGCTTCTGGATGAAAGCACCACACAGGGAGGGTTGCTCGTCATGGATACTGACGAGAAGGTTGAACGGCTGGAGAGCTCACTGGATGTTCTGCAAGCACGATTTGCACGGTTGCTCGGGGAGTTCACAGCCACTCAAAGCAGACTCAAGCAAAGAATCACAGCGCTTGAGAGACAGCTGTGTCACACAGGCCTTGGGCTTGTTTCAGATCAAGAGATGGACTCTGAGAGTAATGGTAACTCGCCACGAGCCAACTCGACTACATAGATGTGTGCATCCGCATCATGAAGATTGTGTGCCTCTATGTCACAGGATTTTATTTCTGCACACAAATTCACATTTACAGACATTTGCTTCTTCAAACACATTCCAACAGCCTCCAGCTTTTAGACTGGTTTTAGACTTGGTTTTTCCAAGTATTGCCTTTAATGTTTTTTTTTTTAAAGGACGACACCATATTTAATTTTCCTTAAAGGATTAGTTCACCCCAAAATGAAAATTCTGTCATTAATTACTCACCCTCATGTTGTTCCAAACCCGTAAGACCTTCGTTCATCTTCGGAACACAAATTAAGATATTTTTGATGAAATGTGAGAGTTCTCAGACCCTGCATAGACAGCAACGCAATTGAAATGTTCCCAGGTCCAGAAACGTAGCAAGGACATCAATAAAACAGTCCATGTGACATCAGTGGCTCAACTTCAATGGCTCGTATTCGCTACGAGAATACTTTTTGTGCGCAAAGAAAACAAAAATAACATAATTTATTTAACAATTCTTCTCCCCCGAGTTACGTCTTCCGCCATTTTGGAGAGTACCCAAGAGCGTAATCGACGTAATCAGCGTTGTTTACGTTCGGAGGAGAAAGCGCGTGCATGAACGTAAACTGCGTAATCAGTGTTGTTTACGCTTAGGGGAAAGCATGCGTATACATTGTGATACTCTCTAAAATGGCAGAAGACGTAACTCGGGGGAGAAGAGTTGTTGAATAAATTGTTATTTTTGTTTTCTTTGTGTTTAAAAAGTATTCTCGTAGCTTCGCAAAACTGAAGTTGAGCCACTGATGTCACATGGATTGTTTTATCGATGTCCTTGCTACGTTTCTGGACCTGGGAACATTTCAGTTGCATTGCTGTCTATGGGAGGGTCAGAGAGCTCTCACATTTCATCAAAAATATCTTCATTTGTGTTCCGAAGATGAACGAAGGTCTTACAAGTTTGGAACAACATGAGGGTGAGTAATTAATGACAGAATTTTCATTTTTGGGTGAACTATCCCTTTAAATGAAAATGAGGCTATGAGGGATGCTGTAGTGTAGTCCTTCAACATATATACCATCAGTGTTGTTATTGTTAACCAAAACTGTTAAATTAGTTATTTTCACTAATTGAAATGATGCTGAAATAAAATCCAAATTCATCCATCCATTCTCCAAACTATTATATGTAGGGTATTAAATTAAAACATGACATGAAAAACTTTATTATTATAACGCATTGAGCAAAACGTTTAATTGTTCTAACGGTATATTTATTGGATGCATGTTTTATTTAAAATGTTTCAAACTTCTGTTAGTTAGCCTATTTGTGGAAACTTTGTATTCATAACAAACTGTATTGCACATCCACCCCAGAGCCTTGTTTTCTTTGTTTTTGTTTTGTGAAAAAATGAAATATGGCGTCCTTACCCAAGACAAATGCTGTTGACAAGTCAAAATATGTACTGATAAACTGTCCTTGTAACATGTTGGGTTCATAAATATTCGCTTATCGCATGTGCACAATAATATATACAGAAAAATAACAAAATGTATATTCTTTATAATTACTGTGATCTGAATGTAAAAACCCTGTCTGCATCTCCGTGCTCAAATAAAGCTGACATGTTGTTGCCCAGCAGCAGTCGTCTCTGCTGTTATGACGGAATCCGATGAAGTAATGACGCCATCACTTTACGTCAGTCACGAACAGGACGCAGTTTCCGGTGCGCCATTTTAAGCTGTCTGGCGCAAGTTCCACTGGGAAGATGGCGGGTGAAACTGGTTGATTTTTTGCGGTTTGCCAAATTTGAGTTTTATGCCGATATCCGAAAGCCGTCGCTGCTGTTAATTGTGCTAAAAGCTCGGCGGTGTGTTGAAGCGCCGCGGGGGAGGAGGCGATGTCTGCCGAAGTTCTCAGGTAAGGCGCCCTGTGTTCTTTCTTTTCTTTTGTAACGTTACTAACGTACAAGCTGTGGTGTTTGTTAATATTTCTCGACAATAAATGTTTTAAATCCAGTCGCTGTTTGAATTAAATCCATGCTTAATCATTTGTATCTGAAGTAATGTTAGGTTTTGTGTAACGTTATTGCCTTAACAGCTTGTGACTTTATCAGCACCAGCTGAACAAAGAGTCGATGCTGAACTGAGGAAAAAAATTATGAACCCTGTTTAATTCATGATAAATATAAGCCTCATTCCTATCAGACTGAAGCCTGAGTATGCTTCTTTCTAAAGGAACCATCTGTGTTTGGCTATAGTTTGGTTTTGCAGGTTTATAAAGGGTTTTCAGTGTTTTAATACATAATGAGAGATTACAGCATGAGGATGTTGCCATAGAGATCAGCTGTCTTGTCTTTGCAGACCTGGGCCGGTGGCCGGTGGAGGCAGTAAGCTAGGTGAGCTGATCGGGAAGCTCCATGAGTATTTGGCAGCAGCCACGGAAGACAAGACTGAAGCTACTTTACCTGGACACTGGAATGGTGAGTACAGCGTGGAAGAGAAATTAGTCACAGTCACATCAGAAACTGAACCAAAAATAAACTCATTAATAGAGCAGTTATAGTGAAATTTGTCATTTCTAATTTACAGGAACCACGGCCAAAGAATACTTGGAGCAGCAGGCTTGTGCCCAGGTAGAGATTGTTTAGAGTGTGGCAGAAATGACATTTTTGTTGTCCAACCCAGAAGTTAGCATCACCCTGGTTCCTTTGACCAAAAGCCAATGGGATGTTTCCAGTGGGTTCTGAATAACTGCAGAAAATAAGCTTTGTGACAAACAAAACCTTTTGCTCATCAAGATAATCTTCACAAATGAACACAACTTTTATGAATTTTGAAGCCTAAATGTAAACGGCAGAAGTAAAAATAACTAACTAAAAATAACTAAAAACTCAAACAACTTAAAGGCACAATATGTAAGATTTTTTTATTAAAATATCAAAAAAACACTAGAACAGTTTTATTTATTTTGCTGACTTGTGTACTTGCATTATCCCAAATGTTTCGAAGAATGTTTAAATCCAGAGAAATAAGCAATTTTAACTAGTGACACGGACCGTGTCTATGGTGTCATTGTGTCGCCTGCCAATGACGTCATAAGCCGTCGATTTCCGGTTTTGTTTTGTAGAAAACATGGAAACACCAAAGACACTTTAATATGTTGTGCATTTTATTAGACCGGTGACGACTGCACAGTAGCATAATAACAGAACTTTCACTTGATGTATGTATGATAAAACAGCGCTGCTTACTTCCGCTGCTTTCCGGAAGGAGCGGAAGCGGTCGACTGTGGCATAATAAAAGCTCCGCTG